GTTGTTATCCCTGAACATTTTCCTTCCTCATTAATGCACGTGTAGCCAACACAATAATTATCATAGCTAATAACCGCTAAAGCTGAGGACTTTTGTGAGTCAGGCAGTGGCTTTAAAAACTCTAAAGTTTTCACACTCTCATTGAATAATTTCTGTTTTTCAGATCAAGTAACTTACACTTACTGTCACATTTGGGATTAAGTTAAAAAAAAATACAAAGAAAGAAACTGAGGCTTAAAGCTGTCAAGTATTCCACAGCCAGCAAGTGACTAAGTTGGAACTTGAACCCAGGCAGTCCAGCCCTGGGATCCTGTGCCCCCACCCATGATCCAGTGTTGGCTACAGGAAACTAAAGTGTACACATTTTCAACTATAGTTTAAATGGGTGACATACATTTCCTATAATTTCCCTAAGTGACTTTCAGTTTGGGGGTATTCTACTTACACAATCTATTGAGCTAGATATTAACTGAGAACAGAAAGAAACTAATGAACTCTGAAAAACATAAAACATGAGCAACATGATATCACCGCAAAAGACAAATCAGCACACAGCCTTCTTGTGACTGTATTTTGCTGACAGTCCACGAGCTAATAATCAGCCTGAACTCAGCAGTGCTCTCTTCCCTTGGGACAGGGACACACACACACACACACACACACACACACACAGTTGGTGGTTGTGCTTCCCTGAGCCTCTAGTCAGCCAGTGTGAGGAAGGGACCAGATGGGTCAGGCAGAAAGGTGCTGGGTCAAGGGAGGAGGGGACAGCCGGGGGCGGGCGCACGCTCTGGACTCGTGCACCCGCCAAAACGGATGCGCGCGGGGCACGCCGGGTTGAAGGGTGAAGGGCGAGGTGCGACGGGGACGGGGACGGCGACGGCGACGGGGGTGGGGTAGGGGCAGCCCTTTCCCAGGCGGTAGCGGGGGCGGTGGTGCTGTTGCCCTTTTAAGCTGCTGCTTGAGAGGAGCCGCGCCTCCCGTGGGTGGAGTCGGTTACAAACGGAGCAGCTCCCGCCAAGGCCTCCTCCGTGCCCCTTGCCATTTTCCAGCCGCGCTCCCACGAGGGTCGAGGCGGCGGGGAGAAGCAGAGCCGCAAGAGCTCTGCCAGGAGGCCCCGCCGATGGTCGCCGCCATGCCAGCGGTTCCGACCAGGCTCCCCTTTCGCGCCCCTCCCGCCCGAGTTGAGTGTCAGGGCTCAAGGCCAAACTGAAGTTGCTAGCATCTATCTTCCACAAGAACTAGGAGCTGCAGCGGCCGCTCACGCTCCGCTGCAACATGAAGGGGCAGGACGAGGGCAGAGAGGGGGCGCCAGGAGTCCCAGGACACAGGGGTGCCTGCCCCGGAGAGGCCCCAGTTCCCCGCCCCTTTACCCCGCAACTGGCCTGGCCCTTGTCCCCGGGACTGTGGGAGGCTTGGGTGGGAGGAGGCGGAGGGCGCGTCTCTCCGGCTCCTCGCGCGGGGCAGGCTTGGGGGCTGCTGGCTCCTCTCGGCCCCCGTCGCCGCGCCCCGAGGTGGGAGCCCGCGGCTGCCGAAGCCCTCTCGGGTCCAGTGGCCGCCCTCAGTCAGCCAGCCTGCTCCCAAGACCGCTACAGGGCGGTGCGGGGCGGCTCCGGCGTTTTTTAAGCCCAGGCGGGTAAGGGGAAAGGCCTTTAAAATGTTCGGTGTTTGGGGCGGGCGCAGTGGTTCACGCCTGTAATCCCAGCACTTTGCGAGGTCGAGGCGGCGGATCACCTGAGGTCAGGAGTTGGAGACCAGCCTGGCCAACATGCTGAAACCCCGTGTCTACTAAAATATGTAAAAATTATGCGGGCCTGTTGGCAGGCGACTTAATCCCAGGTACTTGGGAGGCAAAGGCAGGAGAATCATTTGAACCCGGGAGGCAGAGGTTTCAGTGAGCCGAGATCGAGCCCTTGTGCTCAAACTTGGGGGTAAGAGCGAGACTTCTCTCAAACAAAAAAAAGTTTTTTTGTTTTGTTTTTGTTTGTTTGTTTTGAGACAGGGTCTTACTCTGTCACCCAGGCTGGAGTGCGGTGGCGCGATCTTGGCTCACTGCAGCCTATGTCTCTTGACAGTCCGCGGGTTAAAGCGATTCTCTTGCCTCAGCCTTCTGAGTAGCTGGGATTACAGGCGCCCGCCACCACGCCTGGCTAACTTGTGTTTTTAGTAGAGATGGGGTTTCACCGTGTTGGCCAGGCTGGTCTCGAACCGCTGATCTCAAGTGACCCACCTTTAGCCTCCCAAAGTGAGTAGCTGGGATTACAGGCGCCCGCCACCACTCCTTGCTAACTTGTGTTTTTAGTAGAGATGGGGTTTCACCGTGTTGGCCAGGCTGGTCTCGAACCGCTGATCTCAAGTGACCCACCTTTAGCCTCCCAAAGTGCTGGGATTCCAGGTATGAGCCACCGCGCCAGGACCCAAGGCCCTTAAGTTTTAAGGCCTCATTCTTCAGTCAGGTTTTCCTTGTTCCTGCGTGCTCAGCCAATTGGTTTTGAATTTGTGTTTAAGGAGAAACTAACAATGAAAATGGACTCGTTGATGGAAGAAAAGTTGGAATGCAGCCTCTGGTGCTGTGTGAGCGATCCCTCTCTCCGGGGCCTGGCTGCGCGCTGCTGTGTTCTGGAAAGGCACATTGTACCATAGATGCGGCAGGTAAGAGGCCTGTACAGGTGCTCTGACCTTTTCCTTTCAGGCTTCTGTATCAGCTGTTTTTCCCCTGTAGAATGTGCCCCTTACCTCCACCCCTTAACCCTACCCAATTCGTCTTTACGTGTCTGGCCATCAAGGCTCTTCTGGATCATATTCAGTTCATGCTGGTATTTTCCCTTCTTCCCCTCCTTAGTCCTTACTATTTTTGCTTTGGTCATGTTATGCTATATTCTGTAAGCCTTTTAAATTTGTTTTATGGTGGCAGGGCAGAATATTTTGTAATTATACTTTGTGTTTTTTATCTTTCACTCAATAAATGCTTGGTAAATATTTGTTTTATTGAGTGTATGACCCTATTCTAGCTATATTGTGCTTGAACAAAAGTCTTAACTGCCTTGTAAGTTAACTGCTAAGAATTTGTCAAAAGTGCAGAGATAACATCAAGAACTTGTCATAGATAGTACAAAAAGGTCTGGAAGGGCTTGATGGAAGTCTGTAAATTGACTTCATGTGAAAGACTGTAAGAAAGGAAAATGTGAATGAAGCATGACTGGAGAGCCAGAGTGATAAAGCAAGGGTACCTTTCTCCAGCTCCTTTGTGACAGTGTTATGTGACCTCTTCTAGAAGATCATTCTCAAAGACAATGCCAGCTCGGAACCTAGGAAACCATCCACTGGGTTCCTGCAGGTTAGGTGTTCAAATCCTCATCAGCACCTTTGTTTTCTCTGCCTCAGTTTGCTTACAATGATGTTCTCAGTAGCTGTAATTGCTGTCTGGCTTTGAATACTTAAGCATTTTTTTTTTAGATCACAGGGGTTTATGTGCATTTTTATTTTACCAAGTGTTAGAATTTTTACTCTGCTTTTATGGGCTCTGTGTTAGCTACTTGGTCGTTTTCGTTGTAAAGTGATTAGCAGAGAAAACTCTGTGTGTGTGTGTGTGTGTGTGGTTTCTTTTGTTGTCAGAGCACTTAGAATTTATTTTATATGGTAATTGTCAGTTTACTTTATTCTCCACCCCACATTTATTGAACAGCAAAGTATGAATGTGTCCCATAACCAGCCTTCAGAAGAATTACGACTGCTGTATATCTGAACTTTCTTTTCTTTTCCTTTTTATTCTTTTTCTTTTTTTTTGTTTTTTTTTTTTTTTTGCGATGGAGTCTCACTCTGTCACCCAGGCTGGAGTGCAGTGGTGTGATCTTATCACACTGCAACCTCCGCCACCCAGGTTCAAGCAATTCTCCTGCCTCAGTCTCCTGAGTAACTGGGGATTACAGGCACCTGCCACCCGACCCAGCTAATTTTTGCAGTTTTAGTAGAAATGGGTTTCACCGTCTCTTGGCCAGGCTGGTCTAGAACTCCCGACCTCGTGATCTACCTGCCTCAGCTTCCTAAAGTCCTAGGATTACAGGCGTGAGCCACCATGCCTGGCTGAACTTTCAAGAAGTTCGTGCATCAATTTTTTTAAGAATTATGATATCAAAAGATAGCTGTGTCCTACATTTGGAAAGATAACAAAAACAACATTCTGGCAGGCAGTTTTGCTGACTGGTGCTTGATATAGAGCCACACATTGGTCTCAGTGGACTTATGGAGAAAAATAGATAAAGTTATTTCTAAATAAGACCAAAAAAATCCTTTTCTTAAGCAGTGACAGGTAAAGAGGTTGTCTTGGTTAACCTTGAAATGTGTTACCCTTGATTAAGACAGTTTTATGATGGGGATGGTAGTGGTGATAAACTTGTTTGAAATTTGTCCACTTATAGTAACCTTTGTGGTAGCTGTCACAGACAACTTCATCCTCACAGGCCTTAAAATTACTATAAAACTAATAGAAGGAGGAGAAACAAAGGACCTGAATAATTAGATGCTTAGATAATTGTAATGTGTTTTCATAACCTGTGAAAATGAGCAGGTCAGAAGCACTTAAACATTCTATGTAACGTACACTGCCTGAATTTATATTGTGATTTTTGAGCACCATTTGCTGTTTAAAAACTGGTATATTGTAGGTCATATTTTAAAGACAAATAGAAAACTTACCTTTTCAAGATGGATATAAAGCTTAACCTTATCAAAATTACAGAATGTAAAGCATATGATTGAAAAATATTAATGCATAGGTTTAAATATTGGTCATTTTAGATGTCTTTCAAAATAGATTGTCTGCTAAATATTAAACTGAACAAACTGAACATGTTGTAGAGTTTGTGCTGAAGGTTGTTTCCTGAAGTGGTGGATATTTTATAATATGGATAACAAAACCCTCTTATTTTAAGAAATTTAGAAAATTTTTAGGCAAAACTAGAAAATGTTACCGATAATTCTCCCACTCAGAAGGTACCACTATCAGAATTTTGTATTTTTCCAGTCATCTGCTCATCTCTTTTCTGCTATGCTTGTATATGTTCCTTCTTCCTTGAAAAATCAGATTTTTTTTTTGTAATCTGCTTATTCACTCAATAATATTGGAGACCCATGTCATAACTTACTCCTCTACAGTGGCTTCAATTATTGTGTGCTTTCTGTTGGATGACTATACCATCTAGTCAGTCATGTCTCCTAGTAGTAAATACATAGGGGTGTGTGTGTATTTGTGTGTGTGTGTATTTTTGTTTGTTTTTTGTTTTGTTTGTTTGTTTGTTTGAGATGGAGTCTCACTCCGTCGCCCAGGCTGGAGTACAGTGGTGCGATCTAGGCTCTGCGCCAGCTCCACCTTCTGGGTTCACGCCATTCTCCTGCCTCAGCCTCCTGAGTACCTGGGACTACAGGCGCCCTATACCACGCCCAGCTAATTTTTTGTATTTTTAGTGGAGGTGAGGTTTCAGCGTGTTAGCCAGGATGGTCTCAATCTCCTGACCTCGTGATCCACCCGCCTTGGCCTCCCAAAATGCTGGGATTACAGGCGTGAGCCACCGCACCCGGCTGTTATTTTTTTCTACCTTAACTAATGCTTTAGACATCATTAGGTAGAGCTAAATCCTTGAAACCTTTCAAGTGATGGCTTTCAGTTCTCATTACTGAATTGATTTTTAGAGATGGAACAAATTATATTATATGGAAACTTTTTTTTTTTTTTGAGATGAAGTCTCGCTCTTGTTGCTCAGGCTGGAGTGCAATGGCGTGATCTTGGCTCACTGCAACCTCCGCCTCCTGGGTTCAAGCAATTCTCCTGCCTCACCCTCCCAAGTAGCTGGGTTTACAGGTGCCCGCCAGCACGCCTGGCTAATTTTTATATTTTTAGTAGAGATGGGGTTTCACCATATTGGCCAGGCTGGTTTCAAACACCTGACTTCTGGTGATCCACCTGCCTTGGCCTCGCAAAGTGCTGAAATTACAGGCGTGAGCCACCACGCCTGGCCTTTTTTTCTTCTCAGTACCAGCTTTTATTTATCAGTTTGGTAAAAATATTAGAAAGTATGCAATAAAAGGCATTCTCACAGTCGTGGCACAAAGTATAATTATGTTTGATTTTCTAGGAAGCAGTTTGGCTTTGTAGAAACTTGCCTAACCTCTCCCCATTTAGGCAAGATGAATTCTGACTACCCCAAGGTAGCCAACCTTGTCCCTGTGATTCCAGATCTCCCAGAAAAAGAGGTCTAGTCTCAGGGAAAACCCAGATTTTCTTGGCTTAGCCCACCTTGACAGCTAATCACTGGAAATGGGGTGGGCTGGTAGAGTCCTTCAGTCAGGTTTTGTGTTAAGAGAGGGAGGTGGAAAGATGGGAGGGAGGTAGCAAAACTGGCCTGAATGGAACTCTGTAAGTTAAAATGGCAAAGGGATGTTTCTTCCAAGGAAGAAATTCTAGGGAACAAAAGAAAGTGGAAGGGAAGGCAGCAGTTCTCAAAGTTTTGGAATCAGGACTCCTTTACACTCTTAAAAATATATTGAGGGCCCAAGGAGCTTTGGTTTATGTAGGTTGTATCTATTGGTATTTATCACTAGAAATTAAATCAGAAATATTTAAACTATTCTTTAAAAGCTCACCACATATTGTTATAAATGTTTTTATGAAAAAGTTTCTAAACCCAAAGTAGCACAATCTTACATTTTTTGCAAATTTCTTTGATATTTGGTATGTCATTTTCATCTGCATTCAATTTATTGTGTGATATTTGCTTGAAAAAATGTGAAGACAGGCCAGTCTCATACAGATAGCCATTTTAGATCATTGTGAATATTTCTTATTTATTTTTTTTTTGAGACGGGGTCTTGCTGTGTTGCCCAGGCTGGAATGCAGTGGTATGATCACAGCTTACTGGAGCCTCATACTCTGGGGACTCCCGTGATCCTCCTAACTCAGCTTCCAGAGTAGTTGGGACTACACGTGTGTGCTACCACACCTAGCTAATTTTCTTTGTATTTTTTGTAGAGAGTAG